CCTCCTCCCAGCCCAGCCCCCGGCCAAGCCGGATCAACAGGAAGTGTGGCGCGGGCCCGGTCGGGACACCGGAAGTGTGGCGACAGCCCCTCCGTCCGAGCTCCGCCGGTCGCTAGGGTCAGCTGACCTCTGAAGCAGCTCGGGGCCGGCGGCGGCGGCGGGAAGAAGTTAGTGGCCCGTGGTCAAGACCCCATTACGGCGGTGGCGGTGGTCACGCCAGGCCGGACATGTGAAGTCCAAGAAGGGGAACCCGAGACTGGAAGATACGGTTTTATCTGCTTGTGGTTAGCCACAGTCTTTGAGTCTAAATAGTTAAGAGCGAACAGATTTTTTTTTTTTTTAACGGAAGGAAAACCCTACATTTACCAAAGCACTTTTTTCTAGATAAATCCAAGCAGCTGAGAACAAAGAGTTCGCATTCCGCGGGGGCGAGAGGGCCGGGAAAGCTGAATGACTGAATTGTCCATGATGCTTAGAAATGACCATTTTGGAAACCGTAGCTATTTGATTTGGACAATATAATTAGGTCTTGTCCTCCTGGTTTATGTTTTGTCATTTTGGAGAATTTCATAATCCAATTTTTAGAATCGGAAGGGGTAGATAATCTAGTTCTGGGTTGTTATGTAGAGATAAGAAAATGAGACCCGGAGAATTAAGGGATTTGTTCAGGGTGTGTTAGTGAAAGCTGGAGGAAGAAGAGGAGGGGAGAGGGATAGGGAAAGACTGGCAATTGGAACTTGACATTTTTATATTAAAGACAAGAGTTTCTGAAGTTCCTTCTTTAGAAATCAGCAAGACTCGTCTGATAAGACCCATGTCATCAAAATCAACAGGAAAGGTATGGTAATGTACAAGTTCTACATTATCCAGAAACTGCCTGGGAGGCATATGGAGACATAATCCGCATTGTAAACACCTCCCAAAGTCTGGTCAAGTGAACCCTCCACTGCCTTTATTCCCTTGGTCTGGCCAGTGCCAACCTGATCGCAGACATTTTATGGAATCAGGCTCACATCTTGTTGCTTTCTTTTCCTCTATTTTCTACCAGATACCATTCAGCTCATTTCACTTCTTGTAATCTCCCAGACTTTTCTGACTGAAATTCTCTTCAAGGCCAAAGTCATACTCTTCCTGCCTGATTGTATAATAAGAATAGTACAAGGCCATGATTATGCCAAGGGAAAGAAATGCACGCATTTTAATTTGAAAATAGTAGGGAGGCAATACCCACCCTCAACACTGGAAAGGGCTAAGATGTCCCTTTGGGAGTCACTAGATTTTTCCGTACCCCCTCATCTACTAATTAAAGTTACTTTTCCACAAACACCAGTATTCAAACGTGTTTAAGTTGTGTTTTTACACAGTGATATTACTTCTCTGCATTTCATTGCTACATTATGGGCTCCACGGCCTTGGTAGGATTTCTTGCCACTTGGGAACTGTTTATAACATGTCTGTGGAAAAATGTATCCCAAATTCAAAACAACTAAATTGCAAAACCAAATCTGGGAATAAAATGCATTTGTAAATTGTGTCAGTTTATTTCATTTATTAATCCACCCATTCGTGTAATAAATACAGACTACTCTATGTCAAGCATTGTCTCCATTTATTTTGCTGCCATTATTATTCTCATTTAAATTCTAAGGCCAAATATCCTCTTCAATAATCTGTGAGAATTATGTAAGAGAAATTTTTATGTCAACATGAAAGTTTTTAAATGCCTTATTAAAAAGTATCTGTCCCTATTAAACTAATATGAAGGTGTATTTCAGGCATCCACACAACTGTATCTGATATCCCTGGACAGCTGCAAGATTGGTGTCAAGAAGTACAAAGACAGACAGTTTGGAGCTGCCATGACCTCTGGAGAGAAAGGATGAACTTGATGGAGCTGTAACCTTTGACCATTGGAGGCCAATGGGGAAAAGGATGAAAGATCCCCCAAGGACCAGGTCAGAGAAATCGTGAGGCTTTAGGAGTTGAGAGAGAAAGGCAGAAGTGAGGAAGGCCCCTGTTTTGAGGGGCTGCTTAGCAATCTGCCCGGTAGGGCACACATGTTGAAATTCTTTGCTTGTGTCTCCTTCTAAGTCTGGCAAATCCAACCACAACCTTCAAATCCCAGCTGCATGAGACCTTTATTGTAAAGTTTTCGTTTACTTCTGTCCCCCCAAGCAAAATACACCTTCTTCTCTTTCATATGCTTCTGTAGCACTTGACTAGATAATTCTAGAATAATGCTTGTATTTGTTCCTACCCCAGTCTTCCAGCTAGAGTGAGCAGGAACTTCGTCTTACTTATTTCTATAATTACAGTCCCTAGTACATGACCTAGCAGAAAAGCAGTTGCTTGATAAATGCTTGTTGAATAATGTTATAACTGAAAAATGATTATTGCATCAGAGTTTAAAAAGTGTTTCATGAATCTAATTTCATTTGATACCACAATTCTGTGAGTTTTTTCAGTTATTCATTCACTCTTTAGTACCTACTATGTGTTGAACTCCTCTCTAGGAGCTGAGGATATAGCTTGAAGCAAACAGAAAAAGCCCCTGTCTTTTAATAGAGTATATATTCTAATGGAGAAGATAATAAACAAATACAAACTGGTAAGCATATAATAATGCTTAGCAAAGGAATAGGGAAGGAAGCAAAAGGAAATTAGGGGAAGTGGGGGAAGTGGGAAGGAGTCTTTGAGGTGGACAGACAACAATGATGCTGAGGATTGAATCAGGTAAGCCAAGCCAGAAAGGAATTAGAAAGCCCCCAAGGTATACTCATCATTCTGAGGATGAGCAGCAAGGCCACTGTGGCTGAGTAAAGTGAGGCAAGAGATTTAGAGGTCCAGGCCAAGGTCTAGGGCAGTGGAGGAAATAGTGAGAAGTGTTGACTTGGGACATATATTTTCTTTTAATTGTTGGGGATTCCTTGAGGGTACAAAGAACCAGGTTACACTGCTTGTATTTGTTAGGTAAAGTCCCTCTTATAATGGTATCCCACCCCCAAGAGGGGTGTTACACACTGTAACCCCCCACCCTCCTTCCTCCTTCCCTCTCTCTGCTCCCCGCTTCCCCTACCCCCACCCAAACATATTTTTAAAGTAGACCTGAGAGAATATGGGGGATATAGGTTATGAGAGAAAGGGAAAAAGTGATTGGGTAAATGGTTTTGTGATTTATAGAGATGGAAAACACCAGGCGGGAGCAGGATGGTTCTGTGTGGGTCATTACATTGAGATGCCTTTTAGATATCCATGTGGAGCTGTCAAGTGGGTGCTTGGATACACCACTTTGGAATCTGGGGAAGAGAATGGGACTGGAACTATAAATCTGGGAATTCACCAGCATGCGGGTAGTTTTTAAACCAGGAGAGTGGATAGGATTTCTCTGGAATTTAGTACAGAAAGGAAAGAGAAGAGGTTGGTAGATTGTGCCACAAGCGAGATCCAGGTGAGACCCATTATAATCCCCCACCTTCTTGCCTTTTCCCTTTTCCCCCAAAAGGGAGAGTTTTTGTTTGCTTGTTTTAAGTTAGAAGAAGTTGCAGAGTGAGCAAGTTTAATCTTTTTTTCTTTCTTGGAGACAGTCTCACTTTGTTGCCCTTGGTAAAGTGCCGTGGTGTCACAGCACATAGCAACCTCAAACTCTGGGGCTCAAGCAATTGCCCAGCCAGGTCTCATTCTGGCTCAGGCTGATCTCGAACCTGTGAGCTCAGGGAATCCACCTGCCTTGGCCTTCCAGAGTGCTAGGTGTGAGCCACTGCACCCAGCCCTAGTTTAATCTTTCTGAGCCTCAGTTTACTGCCCTATGATATGAGAATGACAATGACCATCACAAACTGTTTCCATAGGCACCTCTCTGTGCCAGTATTAATTAAGACCTTTTCATTTGCAAATGGCAGATAACTAACTCCAGTTAGTTTAAAGAAAACATAGAAGGCTGAGAGATGCTAAGGGGTGAGGAAGCTATATGGCTTAGATTATTTGCAAGCTGACCAGAATGATCCAGTAGAGGGAAGGAAAAAATGGAAGATTCAAGAGAGGAAGGTGACAATTTTAAGAGCAAGTGTGTAGGAGTAGCATCCAAGTCACAAGTGATAGGGACGGCCTTAGACAAAGCAGGAACAGTACATGCTGTGATACATGTGACAGTAGGTGGACAGATTAAATGAGGAGAGGACCTAGGAGTTCTTTTCTGATTGCTTTTATTTTCCTCAGGGAGATAAGAGGGAAAGCCCTTGGCTCAAAGCAGTGACGGTCAGATGGTGAAATAGCTTGGAGCACAGGTATAAGTATTAGTCTCCCCATTTTATAGATGGTACAGCTGAGGCTCAAATAAATGATACGGTCGAGACAAGGTTCCAAACACCAAGCTGTACCCACTGCACCCCAGAGAGAAGAAGGAAGCCTGTTCAGTAGGAATCCTAAGGCTACTTGACCCTAGGACTACTTTTCCTTGCATTTTAGGTGGCTTCATAATGCCCACAACAAATGCTTTTTAAATGGCTATTGAATGACAGACAATATTCAGTCCTGTTCTCTCCACCTAAGACTCTTGTGACTCAGGTTGTGTGTCACTGGCTGTGCTTCCATTCCCTACAACCAGTCCATGGAAGCTCACAGAGGAAACTGAAGGCCTCCAAGGAGGTCTGGACAGGGAAAAGAACCTCAACAGTCATTCATGTAATGGTGGGTATTAGCCTTTGACTTTCACTCACGATACAAGTTTGATCTTATCACTTGGCTTTTTAAAACTGGTTGGTACCAATAAGAGCACTGACAATAACACTACTGAGCTATTTCTAGGTACTATGCTAATTATCTTACCTGCATTATCTCTGAAAATCTTCTAAGACCTCGT